CCACCGCCGAGCTTCCAACTCTCTTGCAACATCATCTTGCCTGGCACAACTGCGGGTGACGCCCAACCTAGCGGATCGAACACAGCGGCAACACAACGCAACAACGCACGACGAGACCAACCAGACACTTCCTTGGGACACTCAACATCACCGAGCGCAGCCACCGAAATACAATCTGACTCGGTGTTCCACACAATACCCAGTGCCTTGGAACCAGCCTCGGGGTCTGAGGTCATCGTGTTCCCTCGCCACTTCCGCAACTCCATGCCTGCTCCCTGCAAAACATTAACGCTATACTCCTGCAGCTTTTCAGCATCTGCACAGCATGGCAAGCTAGAAACGCAATCATCAACATAAAAACTACGCAGCAGCAGCTCTATGATATCACGCTCAGCAGCAGAAGCAGACTCGAATGCACTATCGAGATGAAAGCGCAGCACAGCACTAAGTATGAAAGGAGAACAATTCACTCCAAAAGGCAGCTTCTTTAAACGCCAAATACACATTTCTTCGCTACCTATCTCAGGCCAAACAAAACGCAGATATGGCCTATCTTCTTCACGCATTCCGATCATAAAAAAAGCCTTGCGAATATCGGCTTGTACAGCACATTCATACTCACGGAACCTGAGGAGGATACCAGTGAGATCCGGTAGGAGTGATGGCCCGGGATCGACCATGTCGTTTAGGGATGGTGCTCCGGTGCAGGCGGCGGATGCATTGAAGACGACCCGTGTCTTCGTCGTTGAGGCGTCGCTACGGAATACGGCATGATGCGGCATGTAATAGCCGGCTTCCTCCGGATGCGGTTCCTTTTCAATGGCATCCAGCTTCAAGTACTCAGTGATGAGGACGTCATCATACGCTAGACGTTGACCTCGTCTCTGTAGCTGCTTCAGCAGTGAGTGTGCCGCTGCCATCGCTTGGTTTAGGTTGGCTGGCGGACGCTTCTCAGATCGCCATAGCAATCCCACTTGGTAATGAGGGCCTTGCCGCTCTATCGGGAAGTCCGGTAACGTCTCAGCTATTTCCGGCACCTCTTCCATCTTCCACAGTCGGTCAAGTTCAATACAACTCACACTGACGGTCGCTGACTTGGTTTCACTATTAGCCGGTCCTGACAGCACCCAGCCTATTTCAGTGTGCCAGGCCGTCTCTCCATTGATTTGCTCCTTGCGGAGAAGGAACTCATTGCAGTAGTCAGCTCCAATCAGCATGTGCACTTCGCTTGATCCGGCCTTTGTCGAGTCATCAGACAGCTGCAATCCCTGTGACTGCCAACGTGCAATTGTGCTGTCTGCTAGCGGATCGAATCGGAGACCTAGCGACTTCTTTTGCCAGGCATTGACGGAAATGGACTTCGTTGCACCCTTGATGGTGACACGGTACCTGTCCATCTTTTCAAACTTCGGCTCCACGTCAAACGCCTTCAGCCTGACAGTTTGCGATCCAAGGTGTGCCGGTTGCAGCGAGTTCACCAGTGGCGCGGTGATGAACGATGCCTGCGCACCTGGGTCGATGAATATGCGTACACTGGCCTTTCGGCTAGGTCCTTGTACCTCAGCCACGCCGGTCATCAAGTGCACGCTGTTTGCACTACATTCATACGTACCGACTTTCGATTCGGCTATCGGTTCGGATGTTACCTGTTTGTCCTCTCTGTGCAGTAGACTGTGGTGTCGCTTGTTGCAGTGCTTGCAACGACCCTTGTTCTGACAATTCATCACTCGATGTCCTGGTCTCAGGCAGTTGAAACACAGTCCCTCTGCCTTGACGTACGCGTTTCGGTGCTCAGACGCCATAGCTGACAATTTCTTGTTAGCCTCATCAACGCTGACCGTCAAACACTCTGCCGACGCAAACGGTATACGTTTGTCGCTGGTGCTAGACTTGGCAGGCTTCAGCTTGCTACGTCCGTGGGCTGTTTGGTAAGCCATACCATCCTCCGCAAACGCCTTCAAGTCCTTCGTGTAACATCTCTTCTCGATCAAGAAGGCCTTAGTTTCTGCCGACACAGCTTCTAGCAGGACTTGACGTACGACACATCCGAACAATTCAGTGTCGTCCAGCTCACCGATTTGTCCGCGGCTAGAGGTACGGCTAGGCCTGGCGAGTTTTGCCCACTTCTCCGTCTCGCGCGTCACTCGTACCACAAACTGGTAGAAACTCTCCTCACTTTTCTGCTGTATGGCCATCAGGGCTTGCCACGCTTTGTCGGCGGTCTTCCCATGCGCCATCAGCAGCTCGCGCTTCGCTTCGGCAAAGGTGTTGCAGCCATAGCATGCACCTTCCAACTTGCTGCCAGCAACAGCCACGCGCAAGCGGATCAGGTACTCGTCGTCGCTGAACTCATTTTGCTTTGCCACATCCTCGAACAGTTCGAGATAGGTCTCAACAGTCTGCTTACCGTCGAACTTCGGCATCTTGATGGCAGCCCTCTTGCTCGCTAAACTGCCATTCGTCGTATTCAACAAAGTGCTCTCATCACTCTGAGTCTCTCGTGCGTGCTGGACTTGCAACTCCAAATCTGCAATCCTCGCAAGCAGCTGCTCGTCATCTTTCCTTTCCAATCTACTTCCTGCTCGTTCGTCGCGCTCTCTGTCTGCACGCACTTTCTCCTCGTGCTTCTCGATACGCTCCTCTACGTAAGTACGCAATGCCTCTCCAGTGTAGCCATAAGCTTGACCATTTGCGATCAGCTTCGCTTCTACCTCATCCATGTTCACGCGTCTCGATCCTGGCGTGGTCGCCAAAATGTTGTGTTCACTACTAACACCTCAAAAGTTTCAGGATCGCACAGACGCCACAAGACAAAAGGTCACGTAATTCTTTACGGACTATAATGAATGAACAGTAGAATACATTGAGAAGAAGAGACTGGAAAAATACGAACTACATCGGAAAGAGAACTCTAGAACACTAAAGAAAACAAACCACAGCATCGAGGAAAAGAACAACGCATGAGGGGTAAAGCGTTGGCCAGCCACACCGTGCGTCCAACTTTGGCATGAGCGTACAGAAGAGCGTACAGCGCTCGGAAAGCGGAAGCTAAATTTGGCGGCAAAGCGACAGCATAAGTATGGCGCGAGGCACATGAGCAGTACGAGGCGCGGCACGTATACGCGTGTGCGGCAAACATTACACACCATGTACCATATATGCATGAACCGCGCGGGGCGCATACTAACTCATTCAACATCAGTGCGCGGCGCAGGCATCTAGCTAGCTGGCGCAAGCATGATCATAATTGCATGCCATCACGCAATCAGCGCACATAAATCGCGCATCAAATAAATAAGTAATCAAACACAAATCAACACATCAACTAAATAAATCAACAAGCTAGCAAGAACACAATTCAAAAATGCAACGAAGAAATAATTACTATTCTAGTCGGTTATTCGCATGGGACCAAGCGCAATGTCCAAGCTGATGAACTGTGATTGCACAAGGTAAGCCCAAGCTCCTGAGCTAACCGTTCTGGTGAGCAGTCTTCTTCGTGCTGCAAACACACACTACACAATGTGTCGTATCTCGTAACAAGTATTGTACCAAATCAAAACGAACACTAACAATACGCAATAGTAAACAATAATCAAAAACACTACGCAAAAAGCAAAGCAAGCAGCACCTAGCCAGGGAGACAAGCAGGAGTCACGGTCGCAACGAGATCTCGACGACACCCCAGAAGACCTTTCTCCGACACGATACACAACATTGGGTGTCTTACGTCGCACCTTCCGGCAACTGAGCAAACTTGCACGCCGCCAGTACATCCTGTCTGTCGTTCTTCCTGACATTCTGTACTGCATCTGTTCCTTCGTCACACTCATTACTGCGAAGGATCACAGTCGTCTAGTAAGCGTGTACAATAGAGCTATCCGAGCGGCTTGTGGGGCTTCGAGCCGGGACAGTATTTCTGGTCTTCTGAAAAACCTTGATGTTAAGCCCCTGGACTACTATTTCCTGGTGTCAACTGGGAAGTTCATTTTCATTAATCATATTCTTCGCCCTTTGCCTGTATTCACATCGTTATTCCCAGCCCCGCAATCTACCCGGAGCACGCGTAATCGCGACACACATGATATCCCTTATTTAAAATGCAGAACAACACTCGGTCAAAAATCCTTTGTGCTTCGTGCTGCTCTTTTTTTTAATGCTCTACCTAATGACTTGAAATCCTCTTTGTTTACCTCTCAGTTCGATCGCGGTTTTAAGCGCTTATTGGATGATCCAGTTTGGTTTGAACGATATCGTGCAATTTTGTTTGACAACGTTGGCAACGTTTAGTCTCTCACCAGCTACATGTATGTATTGCCCAGGTTCATTCAGCATACGTTTTTCTTCTTTTCTCTTTATGTTCACCACTCATCCCCCTTTTTTTTCTAAACATTTGAACATTGACACTGATGTATGAACATATACACTGATGTATATACATTGTTTATTTTTTTATTTTATTTTTATTTTATTATTATTTTTATATATATATATTTTTTGGTCCCATCGGCCTCTTCATATTTGTGCAGCTGCACTGTTGAGCTTCCGATGTAAAACAAAATAAAAAATAAAAAATAATAAAATAGATGAATCGTAAAAAGAGATCACGTACACCCTCGCGCGCACTTGGACCAAGAGTGCATTATAGCAATAAAAACTGCTTTACGGCAGTTTTCTAAAAAAAGTTATTGTGTTCTAGTCCATGGATCCCGTCTAAAAAGTAAGAAATTAACGAAATGTGATAGCTGAAAATTAAAATTTCACACAAAACCTCACAATAATCACAACACTTGAAATGCTGCTTTCAACACTAAACTTGTACTCCACCAACAATTGGCAACATGCATGCATAGGAAAGAGGATCACGAGGAGAAAAGGTCTTGTAGCTTTTCATTCTGTGTGTGATTATTGTGAGGTTTTGTGTGAAATTTTAATTTTCAGCTATCACATTTCGTTAATTTCTTACTTTTTAGACGGGATCCATGGACTAGAACACAATAACTTTTTTTAGAAAACTGCCATAAAGCAGTTTTTATTGCTATAATTTCTTCTGTTTTTTCTGTCACCAATCAATGAAATGCCCTATCAATATGTAAATGATGGCCTTCACATCATATCAATACCGTATTATACGCATTGATGTGCAAGCCTTTTCTTGCAGAAAATGGGACTAGCATGTTCTTCTGCGGGGATACATGTGAGTAGTGGTGGACCGTGGTGATACCTTTTTTATACGGAGGTCATTCTGTGCATGTTGCTGTAGCAGAATTTCATGACTCTGTCATAAAATTGTCTTGCCTTTCAGATATTTCAGATTTCCCCACCCTCGATCAGATTTATTTGAGAAATGTAACCAGGTGCGTGTCGCAGATGTTTTTGTTGATTCTGTGTTTATAATGGTTTATAATCATGGGTTATCGTGATAAGGTCATCCTGCACCATATTGCACTGAAATCGTAACCCTGTTGATGTCGATACAACTTTTGGAAGTAGTTCAATGACTTCGAACTGTTAGTCCACGATTTTCTAAAACAACACAGCAAAGGAGGAACAATAAACATGTATTAAAATGTAAACAAATACATTGCTCAGTCCGACACCTCGTTCCAACAACTACACTGATCCTGAGGATAAAAGGGGCAAGGCTATGGTTGGAGGTACTGAGAGATAAACAAGGCACTCCATAATAATAGAATCGTACACATTTTTTGGTGAGTATGAATGATATCCAGTCGAACCTCTTTAGGACGAACACCAAGGGACCGATGGTATTTATTCTGTGAGTTTGTCTTAACCTATTTTATAACCAGTGAATACAATTATTTCTCCAATAGACATACGAATAGATTTCTTCTACAGCGAAAGATTCTAAGCCATACCAACTCATTGACTCGTCTCGTATGAAACAAATGAGTCACTAGAGAGGTTCTGCAAAACGAAAATGCGTACAAACAGCCGTTCCACGTCCTGAAGTTAAGTGCGAAACTTCGCACGAACTTCCGCAACTTTGGACGCGAAACTTGCAGGGAACGCGAAATGAACAGTCGTACACACTTTCGTGAGATCGGGTCATGGCGTACGTGCACTTGGCCCGCGCAAACTACGAAAACGTGCAGAACGCAAAGTTTGTGCAAAAATTCGTACACACTTTCGCAATGACTGTCGCGAAACTTCGTTCGAATTTTCGTTTTGCAGAACCTCTCTACTGAATCTTTCTTTAGCAACATGACGGCAACTGAAACAGCAACAGAGAAAGTACGATACATGTACAGCACATTCTTGCAGGTACTACAAACAGATTGCAGATCATAATTCTTGCCTTGGCGGCACGAAACTTCATTTGGGGCAGTGCAATCTCGGCGGAACTCACAAATAATAAATCAAACAGCCCAGACTCGAGTAAACAAATCTAAGCATACAAGTTTACTGAACCTCTCCACAATGGAGATTTTCCCTGATATGCGAATTTATTTTGCAAACTCGGTCAATGGGTCCTTGAACCTTTCCCTCCAGATTGGGAACTGCCAACGATAGTATGCCACTGACCAGTGCCTTACTTGTAACGTACCAATGTACAATGAATATGAGTATTTCGACAACACATCTAACATAAGCCTTACCGTCAAGAAGGTGAACTCGCGTTCTTCGCACACTGTAGACCAGGGCAAAGAGATAAAAATGGATCTAAATCCGAATAAAATCAGCACACGTTTCCGTAAATGAAAGGGTGAGCATAAGCAAATGAATCGAAGGAAACCGGTCAACTCAGAGATCACCTGTCATCGAGTATTCCGTAAAAGGGGGCCTGGCAGCGGAAAAGCTAAATTTAGAAAAGAGATCCTGCCAGCTTTTCCATTATTTATTGCATTCCACCCAAAATGAGCACACTTTTCGTAAATGAAAGAGTCAACACAAGCAAAAGAATCAAAGGTAACTGGTCAACTCACCTGTCGATATTGAGTAATATTCCGCGAAAGGAGGTCTCAGCAGCGCCGAAACGAAATAAGCCAGGCCAGGATCTAGGAGACGAAATATCCGAAACAGCTCATACAAGAAGCAGTTCCAAAGGAGGAAGTTCCTCGCGCATATGCGCATGCACATCCGAACACGGACTGCATGCATGCACTGCATGCAACAAAATGTCTGCCATGCCGTGCACGTGCACAGCACGAGGCTACCAACCGTTGGTAGATCTATACCGAGCACCTTACGTAGACACGGCTGTTACGCAGTGGACATCTAACAAGATGGCGGCGAAAAGTTTGAAATCGCTGCGGATTTACTAAAATCCTTTCGACTTAGTACAAAATGTATAGAATTATATAATTTCGCCGGATTTAGTACTTTCTTTCGGTAAAGTCGGTCTAAACCCAAATATTTTTTGAAACGACAAGGAAGTAAGAACAGAAGTCTTGCTGTCGAAAACATCAAGAAGAATTATTATTGGAGGAAGTAGAAGTGAACAGTTAGAGTTAGACCTTACCTCTCTGGCTTTGCGTGTAGTCAGTGTTATGGCGGACTGGCTGGTTGATCTGCCTGCGATGGAGCAGTCCGCTGCCTCGATCGAACTTTGGGCCGTTGATCTGCAACGTCTGGCAGAGTGCATACGAGGTGTTGTTCTGCAACAGCATGCAGGCGCTCAAGCTCGCCGGGAATGGAACCGTATCTCTTCTCGAGCAGGTTGAACTCGGCGTGAATTCCTTCCGCGCCCTGTTCCGACAGTAGACCAAGCCCGACGTGCACTCTCCGCATCAGCGGCACAGTGTGTTCCTCAAGGAGGTGCAGCTTTGGAGTGATGTGACCTAAGCCTCTCTCCACCACCTCGCTCCGACATTTCTGTAAGAACGAGGCAATGGAGAGCTCCAATTGCTGCAGTTCCTCCTCTCCACATTTGTTGCAATGGCTGAAGGAAGATCTGCACGCTGCGTACTGGCTGAACAGGGACTTGTACCGCTCACTGACTACTTGAGCGTCATTCTGCAGAGCTGGGCACCGATCTCCAATGACAATTGCTGGGGCCTCAGTGATAGCTGTGATCACGGCGGGCTTGAGGGCACGGTGGATATGGTTCCCTACAAAAGCACCGCCGTGATAGGCCTGCCGATGGATAATGTTCTTCTGCAGTACTGGCTCTATGGACGCTTCGCACGGGCCGAGAACATCCTTGCTGCGGCGCAACTTGGCCAGTTCGGCTTCAGCAATCTTCAGCTGCGAGCTACACTGCTCTGTGTCGGCCTGTGCTTGCTCAACCTCCCGTTGTAGCACGCCTGCGAGTGCTTCTATCGCCATGCCCTGTTGCTGGCCAAACAAGACGATGAAGTGCAGATGATTCTCCAGAGCGGTGGCTTTCGCTGTTGCTTCCGAGAACGCTGTTTTGCAGCCAGACAACTTGTGATTTGCAGTTGACAAGGCTCTAAACCGTCCACTGTCTTGCTCTTCAGCGTCGCATTGTTCTGCAAGCTGCATGTCCAGAAGACGGACCTCGCGTGTGAATACATCAAAGATCCACGGGAATACACCGAGGTCCAGGTGCAGCACTGGAATGATGGCGCGCGCAACGGGCACTGGCAATAGGACTGGTCGGATGGTGTTGTTATACAGCTTTGCCTTTGACAGCAGAGCACCTGCGCTAGTAAACTGTGCATAGTCCTCCGCCATCTTCTCTAAGGACCGTGCTCCATACTGTACGTCGCGGTTCGCTGGTGGGACCTGCATGTCTTTCTTCGTGCACAAGCAATGGAGGCAAGGCCTTACGCCACTGGAACCCGACAAGCCGTAGTTCATGGTTTGGTACTCGTAATCACCAAACAGATAAGGCACAATGGTCTTGCCTTTCCATTTCTGGCCCTGTAGCTCTGCAATTTGGTTCCGATACATTGAGAGTGCAGTTTCCAGGTTTGCCGGCAAGTCCTTCTCTGCAAACACGCAGATTGGCACAGTGTTGGCGAGTGAGTTTGGATGCATGGTGTTGGCGATTTGCATCACGAATTTAAATGATGTCTTACCATGGTCACCGCCCAGCTTGACCCATATCTCCGTTTCTGGGATGGCGCCATCATGCCATGTCAGCTTACTGCCGCTGTCAAGTATGTCGAGGTAGTGGATAATGATGTCGGTTAGGTTTGGAAAGTAGACAGCTGCAGCAAGTGACAACTCGCCAGTCCGCTTGACAAAGGGGAGCTGCTTCACTGTGTATTTCGGCAAGGTGGTGGCGATGAATGAGCGAATGCTTCTCTCCGATTCAAGCTGAACTCCGAAGGAGCGGAGCCATCTGCGCAGCTTCCGGAGTTGCGCCCAAGGAAGGCTTAGATCGGCCTTGATGGCAAGGGCAGTGCCTGAAGGTGGTTTGATGCTGGTAGCGCCAAGTCCAGCAACGCCATGCCGTGTTGCATCTGCTGTGGTGCAAACTGTCTCTGTGATGCGCTCCATTTCCAGTGACCGTCGTTTCAGCGTCCTGGCTGATGCCTCCTCCGGCTGCTTGCTGCCAACTGTTGTTCGCATGAAAACTTGCGGTCTTCCTTGGCTGCTGGTTTTCACTTCCAGCCTCCCATCTTCTGCTTTGGCGGACACAAGGTGACAGGTCAGTCTGTCACTCACATCGCCCCGTAGCTTTGATGGTGACGCTGCTAAGATCTCCTCCACTGTTGCAGCTTTGGTTGCAGTACGAATGGGCGTTCCTGAGGATGTGGATGGATTGAACGGACATGATGTGACATGACCTCGTAATTCATGGAGGCGAACGGTTGCGGGGCAACCTGACAATGCTGGTTCATGGAAGTCACAATGTACACCCCACTTGCTAACCATATTGCACACTAGCTTGCATGGCTTCTGCAGTGTCGCCAGTGCCATTGGCTGTCTGCATACTGGACATGTATTGTGACTCTTCATCCACGTGTGCACGCATGTTGAGCAGAATATATTTTCACAGCATTTGGCTTGAACTGCTCCATTTACCACTTGCAAACATATCATGCATTCCTGCACAGCTCCACTGTCAATAAACCGCTCTTTCTCTAATGCTGCTTCAGCCCGATACATAGGCGCTGCGTGCGCCGAAATCTCGTCCAAAGTAACTGCGGATGTTTGACTATCAGTGGTGTGTGCTACTGTGTTGGTGTCACCGCTGCTACTGCTGCTGGTGCGTCTTTGCTGAGAGCTAGGACTGCCTTCTGGCAGTTCTGCTGATGTTGATGCCGTTGATGTCTGTCGTTTTGCCGCTTGGCCACGCAGTTCACTGACGGCTTTCCGTTTCGGTGGACGGCCGCCCTTGGCTCGTACAGCATCACTCTTACATACGGCACAGTTAGATCTCGTATGTGGTTGCCATGTAACTGGGCCATTGCAGCCCCCACTACAATACTTATATGTGTCATCTCTCATTGAACGTGCAATAGCAAATTGACAAAGTGAGCACATGTACTGGGGATGCACGTCAGGGGAATCTTTGGAAACATCAATTTTAAAAACTTTGGCGATCTCTTCAACATAATTCTTCACCGGATATGGAGTTTTGTGACTAGCACTGGCAAGTTTTTGCCCACCAATGCGACACACGGATTCAAGAATACTCGAGTGGTGCTCCATCGCAGAGCAGAAACCAACAAACAAGGCTAAAATGTCGATGCGCGATCGAGACTTCCTTTGCACGATCTGGGACAAGAGCGCGATTTTCGAGCTATAGAAGGTCTCTAGGGCCACCAAAAACACAGCAAGCAGCTGCGAAAACTCGGAGCCGGGATGTAGGCAGCAATGAAAGTAGAGCAGTTTTGGGAATCGAAAGAACAAAGGACGTGGAGGCGACATGGCGACAGAAACCTGTCGCCTCTTGGGAAAGACGATCCAAAAGGCATCAATGCGTTCCTTGAAGCTTCCCCTGGACGAAAATCGCGGTTGTATGGTAAACCGTGTCGATGGGAGACGATGGGAGCCAAAATAGCCTGGATACCAACGTGAAAAATGCAATTCTCAGCTATTCTCTGGGGGCCGTCGCGTTCAAAAATTCAAAAAGTTTCAAAAAAATGACGCCATTTTGAATGTCCGATTTTGTGATCTACGTAACAGCCGTGTAGAGACTTACGTAGCCTAAGTGAAATACCGAGCACCTTACGTAGAAACTTACGTAGCATAGCGGTGTCGTTTTTCTTGCCATGTGAACACAATAATAGAAAAGCTGACAGGATCGCTTTTCTAAATAAACAGTTTATTTAGAAAAGCGATCCTGTCAGCTTTTCTATTATTGTGTTCACATGGCGCTACCTAACGACACCGCTATTCAGACACGTTGTCTACGTAGCTACGTAGATTTCTACTTCAAACGACCCACGTGCTCTTTGCTAGGTTACGACCAATCAGCAGCCTCGGAGAGCGGGCTTTGATATTCCATCAAAGCCCGCTGTCATTGACAACCTGTACGAGAAAACCATCAAAGCCCGCTGCCATTGGCAACTGTACGACAAAACCATCAAAGCCCTGATCATGCCCAATCTCAGTCTTTTCAAGGTGATCTGGCTATAAGAACAAGAAACCGATAGGGGTGGTGGTCGGGGATCCGGTGGCTCTCAACTTGTGGAGTTGGAAATCTAGCTCCAGCACCGCAGAACTCTCAGCAGTATGCAGCGTGAGCAAGGCGTGTGTGGTGGAAGTGAAAATACTTCCGTGACTCTTCAGCCACGTCTGGCTCTTGACACGGAGTCCTGAGAAATTTCTCACGAAACACGTTTTACATTACTTTCCCTTTGCTGTAATCTCTGTGTGAAACTTACGAACGGGACGAAAACGACATGCACTTTAGACTTCAGGCTGCTCTGAAATCCCAAACGAAAGGCCGACATTGTCCACACTCGAGATCACCCAAAGAATAAAGCGAGTTTGATTCAAAATCAAAAAAAATGTTGGGGATCGTCTGAAGCATATTCAAGCGAGGTACAGTCGGGCTTGATGACTGATCAAAGCCCTCGGGCCCAGCCCTTGGGCCTACGGCCCTCGGGCTGGACCCTTGGGCTTTGATCAGCCATCAAGCCCTCTGTACCTCGCTTGATTATCTACGTAA